CGAAATCGATTAAAATAGCCATTGCTTTGTCTGTTTTGTTCTCATTTGGATTGGTTTTGTATGTGCCAGTCTCAGTATTGTGGCCGATGATCCAGTCGAAATTTCGCGGGTCCCCGACTCGTTACGGAGAAGCCATATTCCGTTCAAGCGTGATGATCGCGGCGAGTAAGCTAAATTCATGACGACCCGATCTCTTCTGTTTCTTGCCTTTTTTCTTTCTGGTCGAAGAAATATGTTTTCGAATTGACGAATGAAAATTCGCAGCAACGCTGGCAATCGCCGTACCAAAAATGGTCCCCCTGCTTAGCTTCCTCGCGGCGTTGAGCATGACCACGATTATGCTGCTGATCCCTATACTGATAGAGACGGCGACTAAATGGCAGCAAGCGACGCGATTCCTTTTCGCCAAGAACATCAGCATCTTTCTCATCTGGGTGTTGCTGCTGGTAAGTGTTAACACATACGCCGTGCATTTCACATAATTTCTGCGTCATTGCATTCGGAATGTTTGCAGATTCAGATTTTTAGAATTTGATCCAAATAATCCAAACAAACGAAATCAACAGAATAATAATAATAATACGACAAAATTATGCTCAGCACGTGATAATTATAAAGTTAACTATTATTATTAGACTTGTTACACTAGACTACAAATTAATTGTTATTAAATGAAATTTTTATTATTAGGATTTAATATATGATTACAATGTTGAAGGAACGAATCTCTATTTCTCTTCTGTTTCTTTAATTCACGAGCACGCAGAACCGCGAGGATCTAACCTAATTTCAAAATTAATAATATCTATCGTTTGTAAGTAGCAATTACATGATATCAATAATGTGAAGTTTTATACAGCAAAATACTTCGAAGAGATAACACGAGTAAGATACAGATATCAACTTTCTGTATAGCAGAACTTTATCACTTTGTACTGTTCTTGGAGTGCTAGGAAACATGATTGAAATAGAAATATTTCCACTTCCCTGTGGAAACAATTATTTTTCTAATAATTGTAAATACAATTATTTTTCTAATAATTGTAAATATATAATAAGTATATAATTGTAGTATATAATAGGAATATTTCCACTTCCCCGTGGAAACAATTATTTTTCTAATAATTGTAAGTATATAATAAGTATATAATTGTAGTATATAATAGGAATATTTTCACTTCCCCGTGGAAACAATTATTTTTCTAGTAATTGTAAATACAATTATTTTTCTAATAATTGTAAATACAATTATTTTTCTAATAATTGTAAATTCAATTATTTTTCTAATAATTGTAAATACAATTATTTTTCTAATAATTGTAAGTCAATGAATGGAAGAACGTAAGAGGGAACGAAACTCTTTTATTTTTCGTCAGATTTCTGGATCGATCGAGAGCGTATTGTCCATCGTCAGAGAATACGGCGACGTGAAAGAGAATGGATGCTGATTATTGGCCAGTTAATCAGTGAAAATGGAGAAACCAGTTTCCTCAACAGTTGGAAAAAAAAAACATTTAAAACGAGTGTTACACACAACAGCGTTTTTGTTGTCTTGCAAAAATTGTTTATATGTATGGAAATAAAGTCTTGCTCCTATTTCTCCTATTTCTATTCTTCGTAGAAATCGGATGGGAATCAACTGTATCTGCATAGCTGCAGCCTTGATCAAGCCATCATCAATTAAAATCATGATCTTTTCCAGGAAATATCAGCTCTTATGTAAATGTTTTGCCGCGGAGAAAAACCTGCCTAATAACAATACCTATCGATGTGTTCGACCATTACAATAAATATAAGTCGCAGTTCGCGTGATATATCGAGACAGATAATGAATAACTTATATATGCAGAGTGTTTCGAGATTTGAATATTTATGCCGACAATTATAGGAGCACTCGTGCTAATCGTCTTTACTAAAGATCACCGTGTTCTCGGCCAACATTCGTCGATTCTTCAATTTTGTCCATTAACGTTCTCTTATCGAGAGAGAACAACAACTTTGATGATTTTCCATTTCTTTGTGAATTTTTTCCTTTCTTTTTTTTTTTTTTCTTCCTTTATTGAAACACACGAAAATCTTGCCAGAAATGACAAATCCATTTCGGACGTTTGAAGTGCTGAGGCTTTTAGCCTAATATGACATTTTTGATTTTCAGCGAAACAGACGAATGTAAATATGAACGTTGAGAGGGGAGAAAGACGACTGCGAGTGGTTCAACAAACTTTACTCGATTTGTTCGTTGCCCATGTTTTTTTGATTAGGCGAAATCTTTCAGAGATTCCTAATGACAAAAGCTTTACTTTACACGTTGGCAATAATTACGACTGATGACACTAATAATTCCCAGCCGAGATACTTGAAACAGTTGTTAAATGATAACTCTACAGAAACTTAATAAAAACAAGTTGGAGTGATTTAGTGCACAATCTCTCGTCGCCTGACGATTCTAATTGCAAGGCTGAAAAAATATAGTGTCACGAAAGTTTATTTAAAAGATATTAGTTTCGTATTTTCTTTTTTTTCCTCTCTCTCTCTCTCTCTCTCTCTCTCTAAATGTAAATTACACGCGTCGTATGCGAAAAGTGCAGAATCTTAAAAATTTCAACATTCCAAATTATTGATTGTACTTTTATCTTGGACAGTGGAGAGGATCGAGTCATCGTTGTGTAAACGAAAAAGAAAAGAAACTTTCGATTTTTCGATTTCGCGTTTCGACCGCCGCACGTGCGACAGCGATAAAAGAGAGTTTAATCGCTGCAGAAACCTTCGAAGCACGCGATATTCCCACTGACACAGAGAGTAAATACATGCGCATAAATATACACATGGTCGGAGTTGCTCGACTGCTTGACAGACAGAAGAGAAAAAAAAAAAAAAAAAAAAAAAATGTAACCTGACTCATCAAATGATCGAAGAGTCCGCATTTGAAAGTTCTCGCTGATAGACCAATTGTCTTTGACGTTTGCACGGATGGTTCACGGTGATTCATGCACGGTTTGCGCCACTTACGCAATGCTGGAAATGCGGAGGCGAAGAGGAGAGAGAAGATATCATGGTGGCGAGGGTAGCTGGAGGGAAGGCTTGCAAGGATTGGAGGGAAAAGAGGTAAGGTGAAAGGGAAGAAGAGGCGAAATGCCGGGATACGAGATATGAGATGGTTCGGCGATGGTTTCGCGGCCCGCAGTGGCCTTGTACGCGCGCGAAGCGATGCTAAAGGACGACTGCTCGTCCCCGAGGTTCTCGAGCTGGCCGATCATCGCGTCTGCATGCCTTTTCACGTGCGACAGAGGAAACTTATTAGGAGGACGGCCTCTATCTCCCCTCTCGACGACACGCAGCGTGCTCTCGAGCGACGTCAATTCTAGCGGGACACTAGCGAGCTGAATCGCGCGCGTCTCGCATACACGCCAGCCATGTATATATACCTGGCTAGCGCCGAAAAAACTTGGCCAGTCGCGTACGACGCCTGTCACCACGCTCCACGCGCGGATTTTCTTCATCGCCGCGTTTACTCCTTTCCCATCGCGAGACCACTCTACTTTTCGCTCTGCAACCTCTCCAGCCTTTGCACCCTTCTTTTCTTTTCTCTTCTCTTCGAAGGGAGAGATTCCTCGGCGAAAGATCGAAACTTTGGCAGGGGGGAAAAACTTGGCAAAATTAAGAAAGATAGATAGATCGAAGTTCATTGACAACGAAGAAGATTACACGCCGAGAACAACGAACCGGCGCGACAGAGCGTGTGAATTCATCAGGAAAATTGGTGCAATTGATCGAAGAATTAACCGACGACGACGATCAAAGAATTCAATCAAGTGAGAAGAGAAGCGAATCTGCGAAGTTCAGCTGTGCCTACTGCCGGTGATCATCTCGATCGGCGATCGCACTGAATCGATCGATCAATCGTACCGTGTGACAATAGTCAAGACTCGTCTGAGTATCGCCAATAAATCGTTATCTCTTATCCAGCGAGATTAGACTCCAGTGTTTGTAGAAAGGTAAATAAGATACCGGGGAAAGAGATTCGAAATATTAATTATATTTCGAAGTAGTAAATTACATATCTCGAGGAGGATAGATACCGATAGAGAGAAACGATTCGAGGAAGAAACGAGAGGAGAGACTTCCTTCAAACAGGCTCGCTCGACCATGTGAATTAATCGCAAGTTGTTCAAAGATCGAACCTCTATATTCTCTCGACTGGGGAAAAACCACGAGTTTTTTTCTACCTTTTTTTGTTTGCAACTGGAATTGAGACACACGTGAGTACATTTACGCAGAACGTATATATCGGCGTAACGTAAAATTGCGTGAAAATTGTTTGGAACTCGAACGACCGTAACCGGTTGATAGTCGATAGTTACGCAACGAATTCGATCCTTTTTAACGATCGGGAACGATTATTGATAATTATCGCGTTCGTGTATCACGCTTCGGTGAGCTTCGATCGAAAGTCGTGCTTTTCGTAGATCAAAGATCTTCAGCGTCTCGTGTTCGAATGGTTTTCAAACGATCATCAAGAGGTCATTTATAGACTTTATTAACTTTTCGGATCGATCTCTGACAAACAGAAACTTTCAGTTTTGTCAAGTGTAATTTTCTCTCTCTTTTTTTTTTAATAATTTTTTGTCATGAATTCATGTTACGTAAACGTGTAACGACGAAATAAATTTTTGGAATCGTTTAAAGTCGGTTCTGAAATGTTTTTTTTTTTTTTTTTTTT